GTTTGTTTTCTTTTGCTGATTGTTCTTCAGATGATTTCCTTACAGTTGATCGAGATTGAGCTGGTCTGGATCCTGCAGCGCTGCAGGCCTGTTTTCATCACAAACAGTCCACACTCACATTCATATTTGTGTGTGTGTGTGTGTGTGTGTGTGTGTTTTAGGGTCATGCAGGGGTCACAGGCGCCCGTGGTGCGATCGGTCAGCAGGGATCTCCTGTAAGTCTGATGTGTGACCAACACTGCAGCTCTGGTCCAAAACTGCTGCTGTCCACCTACATAGACAGCAGTCAGTGCATCATGCTAACAGTGCACTGGAAACTCAGCTCACAATAGAGTTTCACCTTTGCATGTTGTTTGTGTTTGATGCATGTCTTTGCATCAGAAGTTGCACCCTATGATGCCTTAAAATGCTGTCTAGGTAGGTGGCTCACTAGGATTTGGAGCACAGAGTTTTTGTTGCATAACTTTCTTAATTAAGTTGCTGGAAAATTTGACATGCCAAAGCTAATGTTTGCAGTTTTTTCTTTGGTTAATTTTGGACACTGGCCACATGTCTCCAGACCGGTGGGACATCACACTGAAGTGTCTGCTTGCAAAATGAAATTAAAGCACAGTCTTTTTTTACAGGGATCTCCTGGGCTTCCTGGTGAAGCAGGACCCATAGGCGAGAAGGGAGTTCAGGTTTGTGACTAGCGCACTACTTACACTATTTATGCCGTGTGTAGTTCATATACTGTGCAGTTTGTGATTTTTTTCTGTATGCATGAAACACCTGGGGCCAGGCTTACAAAAATCTTCTTAAGAAATAAGTTAAGACATTTCTTAAGATAAATTCCGCAAAGTTCGTAAGAATGTTCTGAAGTGCATCTTCCGAGTGAACGCTTCCGGTATGTGTGACTACTGTATGTGGGGCTATCCTAACTTTAAGAAGTTACATACGATGATATTTAAGAAGATTATTTTCAAGAATTAGAAAACTTCTTAAGTTTTGTCTTAAGAACAATCTTAAGAAAAAACATAAGAACATTCTTAAAAAGAATTTTGATGTACTAAAATAACTAAAACTAAAACTGAATGAAAAATCAATAAAACGTATGAAATGCATATTTATGAATAAAATGTATGAATAAAAATTTATAAAAACAAAAAAACTAATAAAAATGACAAACACAAAAATTACTAAAACTTTAACTGAAATTAAACTGAAAATGGAAAATACAAAAATAAAATCCTCAAAATATTTAAAACAAAAACTATAATAGTTTCTTAATCATAAAATAATTAATATATTTGCAAAGATTTGCATTATGCAACCAGATCACACTATTATTTTAGTACATTTGAGATATTACTAGTTTTTAGTGATATTTTAAATTGGTTTTTATTTTATATTTTCTTTTTCCTGGGTAACTAGTTAAAATAAAATAAGTTAAACTTTTTTATATTTAATTTTATTTGTTAAATTTTATTTTATTTTAAATAATGATTTTTTTTTTTTTTATGTTTTTATGTTTTAGTTAACTATAGTTATCCTGGTATGCTGCTTTAACTTCAGTTTTCAGTGTTATTATCGTTAATATCGACTACAATCTTTAGTTTTTCTTGACTTCTTTCATCAAACTGCCAAAAGTAAACATGTCTTTATACTTAAATTGCGCTAAAATAGCACTATATATATTCAAGAAGAATTAAGCACACAACATAGCGAGGTCATGTGACTACAATGTAGCATTTTTTAAATTAGAAAAATCTTCATACTGCATACTTTACATAGTTTAAAAATAGTATTCAGCATATTCAGTAAGCAATATGCTAGTGTTTTATGAATCTAAAATGGCAAAAGTTTAGGGTCAGACTGTAGCAAACATAAATAGATTAAATTAAAATCAACAGAAGTCAATGGCAGGTCGCCTCTGCAGTATAAAAACATGTTGTGTAACAGAATGAATTCTATATCCTTTTGTCTGCGGTTTTTTTTTTGCAAATCCATCCTGGAAAGCTCCTGTAAACATTCACAGAGCCACATTCACATATCATAAATATCCCATTCAGATATCAGCCAATGAACGGCATTGAAAACCTGAGCGAAACAGAATCACAGCATTTGGCCACCCAACGTGACTTTATTATTTTTATTTCCTTTGTTATCCAGAGCATTAAAGGAATTGTGCGCTCAGAGATGCTTGAATAAGAGCTGATTATAGCGATTTCTTTATCACGGCATGGAAAAATCTTTCTTTTAATTCACTCCAATCATTCTTAGGTAACAGATTTATATAAGGGTTTTGAATAAGTGTGTGTGTGTGTTTTAGGGACTCGCTGGGAAGAAAGGATCCCGAGGTCCCGCTGGAGCTCCAGGTCCTGAAGTGAGTATTTTACACCACATGTTTATGTTTGCACAAATCACTGCATAAATCAATAACAAAAAATATTATATAATTTGTTTAATAAAAATTTTATTAAAAAAAAACATTTAAAAAATACTTAGGCCTACATTTAAGATTTATGTATCTGTCATGTGTTTTAGGGTCCGGTTGGTTTGCCGGGGCCCAGAGGGACAGATGGGTATCCGGGATCCGATGGGCTTCCTGGTCTTCCTGGTTTACCGGGTCTGCCTGGATCCAAAGGCCGAACAGTGAGTCAAGTCAAGTCACCTTTATTTAAATAACGCTTTTAACAATACAGATTGTATCAAAGCAGCTTTACAGTATTAAATAGGAAATTAGTGTGTCAATAATGCCAAAGGACAATAATGTGATCGATATGATACCTCTTCATTCACTGCTACAAATTGATGGAGGTCAGATAAGTACGATTTGAACCATGCTAATGCACTTCCACTAATGCCAACAAAGTTTTCTAGTCTATTCAAAAAAATGTTTATGGTCAATAGTGTCGAACGCAGTGCTAAGATCCAGTAACCAATACTAGGGCTGCCCTGGACTAAAGATTTTGCTGGTCAACTAGTAGTCATTCATTTTAAGCAATATTGGACTAATCACACATTTATTAATAAACCATTTAAATCATAATAATTAGCCTTTAATTGTCTACAAAGCCTAATAAGCACTCAAGCACATGCATAAAGCTTGCCACAGCACCGCAGAAGACACAAAATAATGATCTTTAAAAAAGCATCATATGACCCCTTTAACATTTTAATAATTTATTGATACACTAGTGCTTTCTTTGTTTTCGTCTTAAGAGATGAAGTCGGGCGACACTGACTCGTCATCTCCGCAGTAGTGATGCGCCTGTATGCATGTTTGATCGGATTACATAATCATTTGAAAGTAGACATTTCACTCTCTATAGATATGTTTTCATATCTGTAAGGCAAGTATACACAGAGATTCGGAGTTTCACACTCAAGTTCACAGAGACCGAGACGGCAGAAAGCGCATCTTGTTTGTTTTCATTATTTTACAAAAGCACAATATTTTGTTTTTATTGTGAGTGCACAAAAATAAATGTAGAGTATTTACAGATTCAAAACATGTATTACTCTTATCTGTATGACCAAAAATGAGGGAGTATTTTAAGAGACAGTAACCGCTCCGGCGCCTCCATCTGTCCTGCAGTGAGCGCTACTGTTCAGCTTCCACACTCCACACAGACACTTCAATAGCACACATTTTTCTAGGTTAACATTAGATTGAGCGGCCATGTAAAGTTGCTA